CGATTATTGGAATCTTTATGTTTTATGAAAAAGGGATGACTAGCTAAAAATGAAAAAATTCTTTGTAAAATTTGGGTCGTGTCACACCCCCAAACCAGAACGGCGGAAACGTTCGGGGGCGGAGGACGTCATATTCAGTATCATAACAGTTCATAAAAAGGAAAGTACACACCACCATATATATTAAAGTTTCCAAGATGTTTACATAATTGTATTCATTACATGTTCAAAAGATAAATATATAAACATCATTCAAAAGAAGTAATTAACGCCAGCGCGTTAATCCCAAAAGTTGATTCCCAAACCTGCTTAGCGGTTCCCTGAGAATACAAGTTATTTCAAAGAAAAAGTGTCAACAATTAAGTTGGTGAGTTCATAAATAGTTTAGAAAAATTGGATGCCATTCCAAAATGGGTGTATATTTTCCAGAAAACGCAGCATTTCAAATGTAAAGAGTTGTGATTTGTTTTGTTGAAAGTGAATGTATTAAATCCAGAAAATCCCATATTTTCCCTAATGGTTGAGATACGAGTTGTTGTGTTTCCCAAGAAAAACCCTTATTTTCTTATAAAAGTATGAAATGCATAAGAATGTTCGTGTTATAAGTTGTAAATAATTGCACCAGGAAAATCCCTTATTTTCCTATTAGTTGTTTGGTTTGTATGCAGGAAAAACCCTTATTTTCCTAACATAAATGGCAGTCTCTAAAACCGAAAATCGCAAGAAACCGACGTTCTCAAAAGTTGTGTCATAGTTTTATATAATAAAGCTATACGAAGATCGCATTTGTTAGATGAATAATAGTTTTAATAGCTACTCGTTCATAAAAGCATAATACCATAATAATTGTATATCCGATGAGTTTTATAACCATACTAAACATAATATGCATGTAACGACGTTCTTCAGGCGTCGCAGCGTTATGACAACTGTCACCCCAAAAGACGGACTGTAGCTAACAGTCAGGGCGTGGGATCATGACTTCCCGTATAGATCTATACACATTTGACACGTTCTCCGAACGGGAGACTCTGGTTATAGACAGGACTTGCAGCATTACTTTCTAATAAAGAAAAGTAACGTTTGAAGATGTACACGTCTCATGGATTCTCAATTAAGTTTATATTAAAGTGATAGTTTTGTATGCAAAGTTTATCCTTTTTCACAATGTTTGACAAAGCAAAATCATACGTTTTTCGAATGTATAAAACGACTTAACAATGAAAGATCATTATATATTTCATATAAGTCTAATGCACGCAAAGTATGACAAGAGTTTTCCATAGTAGTAATGAGTTCCAAGTGATTTATTCGATAAAACAAGCTAAGTGAAACTTTATAAAATACACGATAATTACCGTATGTTTACTTGTATTCCCCCCCTAAAAGAGTATAAAAGCATTTAAAATGTATTTAAAGTGTGTTTGAAAGGGGTATGAACTCACTTGAAAGTTTGAAGATAGCAAGATGGAAAACCGGGCAGAGTTTCGTCTCGGGAAATGGATTTTCCTCGGAAATCTCAGGATTCCTCGGGAGTAAAATCGACCTTCGGGACTTGCACAAAATGACCAGGGCTTTGGGGTAGTGCGAGCACGGAAAACGAGGTAAAACGCAAGCAAAAGGAGAGAGAATGGGCCATTTTCCCGGGAACCCTCACATGCTATTTATAGGGGGGCCTGAGAGGCCTCGTACGCGGGATGTACGCTCGTACGCAGCGCGTACGCGTACGTCATGCATGACCGAAGCCTCGACTGCCTCGGCCTCGGATGGGACAGCTCAGGCTGTCGGGTCGGATGGGACGGCGGGTCGGACGGGCGGGTCGGGTGCCTCGCATAGGGCGACGTGAATGGTTCGAGGCCAAGTTCCTCGGGTACGCGGGGCGTACAGGGGTACGCAGCGCGTACCTCGGATGAGGACGCTGACTCCCCTTCGGATAATACCGAAGTTTTAATAAAAATTATATATAAATTATTTATCAAACTTCGAAAATTCATATCTCCTTCATACGAACTCCGTTTTTGTCGTTCTTTATATCCTCGCGAAGGTGAGACTACGATCTACAACTTTCATTTAGATTCCGTTGGCAAATTCCGGAATTATTTTTATTACTTATTTATTAAAATGACGTGATTAAGGAATTTCTTTAAAAATTCATAACTTATTCATACGATGTCCGATTTGAGCGTTCTTTTTATGCATGTTTGTAGTTTAACGATATCTACGACTTTCATTTAGACACCTAACGTCGGAAAGTGTTTTATTGAAACTTTGCGTTTTTACGCAACTTCGTATTGCCGGTTTTTATCGGAAAACTTAGAATGATCATAACTTCTTCGTTATAACTCGGATTTTTGTGTTATTTATATGTTTGGAAACCTTAAGACGATACCTACCACATAGTGTACTCCAAATATAGTTTTTGAATACTTCATTTTTCGATGATATTCTAATTCCTTTCTCAAAGAGGTTACAGGACTCGATTTTTACTGACTTGAAATAACGGGTTGTTACAGGTCGTTACAATATATATATATATATATATATATATATATATATATATATATATATATGTGTGTGTGTGTGTGTGTGTGTGTTATAACATTGTGGGATTGAAATCCATATGTACTCACCATGTTTCTACCTGACCCATTCAGTTTATTTTATCAAAGGTGTCGATAGGAAGCTACATTACACTGAGAGATTAAAGATGTAGATCACTAGTGTAAATGATTGTAAGGTCTGTTTATGCTTATGTTTTTGTATTGACGATGACATCCCAAAATTTTAATATAAACAAAATACATTAATTTCAGAAATGTTTTGATGATATATTTATCTCGTTTTTCTGGGAACAAATTATGCAATATTATTCTTTAAAAAGGATACTCTGATTTTCAAATAAGCATAAGTAAAATTTTTAAAATGACTGTGGATTTGGGGATGTCACAACATAGACTGCTAAACTTTGTTTAAACTTCATATCTTTTTCATACGACATCTGTTCCTGATTGAGTGTATATCAACGGACTCCTATTTACGTGATCTTCAACTCTCGTTTAGATTGTTTCGGCTAAAAATCGACTGATTCAAATTTCAATTTTTGTGCTAACACAACTGCGTTGATACTTCAAAAAATCATAACTTCCTCATATGAAGTCAGAGTTAGGCTTTCTCTATATGCGCACTCTCGGTTACTACAAATTTCATTTGGATTGCTTAGACTAATAAGCAACCTATCTAAAATTCACTTTTTACAACACATATAGTCGTGTCAGTTTAATCGCAAAACTTCGAAGAAAGATAACTATTTCATACGAAGTTATAGGTGGATGCGCTGCGATCAGGCCGTACCCTTCCTTTTTAAACTGAAGATACCTGAAACATAAAATTAAACTGTAAGCACAAAGCTTAGTGAGTTCCCCAAAATACCATATACCATACATACACATCAAACATGCAAATCATACATACATATAAGTCTAAAGCTGTAATGGGTCTATTTCAACTTTGAGTCCCTTCCGACTCGTTGAGTCTCTTCCGACTCGTGACTTCCTTCCGAATTGAGACTCGCTTCCGACTCTTTGATTCCCTTCCAACTCGTGACTCCCTTTTGAATCACGACTCCCTTCCGACTCGTTGATTCCCTTCTGACTCCTTCGGTATCTTTCAACCGATACAGGTCTATTTTACTCCTACTGCTAAGCATACAGTTATACCAATAAGATTCACAAAAACATCAAGCATATACATGCATATCATAAAGTGTCACAAGGACCACTACTATCATACAACATAACCCAGTGGACCAATATTGGTGCCTTCGATCCACAAGTACAGTGAGGAGACTCACCTCAATCTGAAGATACCCGATTCACACAATTGTTTCTGCTATAGGGCTCCTCACACTAAACATATCCAAAAAATCACCCCTAATCAATAGTTAGGGTAATAACCCATAATCAAAGGTCCGATCATATTCTATCATGTTAAGGGGTAAAAGACTATTTTACCTTCCCGTACTTGAACCATCTAACCATAGCCCAAACCCAATAGGACCCAAGGCCGAAAAATGGCCCAAATGATCCTCTAGTGAGTACGTCATGCATACCACCCAATAACGCACCGCGTACTCGACAATCACAGAAAATGAAAAACGGGACTAGGAAGTCGTACGTGTTGCATACTCCAATTTATGTAGGGGTAATCATAGGGATCTCAAAACTCATTTTAAGCACTTAATACTTTAAGATACAACATCGAATATTGATATCTAAGTCTTGGGAAGGTCTTAATAGGTAAAGTAGACAACTTTAAGCTTTTGCATGGCTTAACGAAACCAAAAACCAAACCCTAGCTTCTTATTAACACTTAATGGCCAATAGCTCATGCATTTTTGTACCACAACCATCAAGATTAATTTTGATGACTTAATGACCTCAAAAATGAATAGAAATGAGGCTCAAAGGTTCTGTAGTAAATTCTACTCACAATATCCAATCCATGGGACCAAAACACGCACATAACATATCCTAAAACTAGATCTATATAAAAGAAGCATTAAGATTCAAGCTTCATACATTGAGAAGAAAGATCAAGGTGAACAAGGTCTGGAACTACAAGATCCAAGACAACCCACACTTCTCATGTGAGCTCCTTCTTCTCCAAGATGCACCAAGAACACTCCACATCACTCAAAGGGCTCAAGAATCTCTCAAATGGGGATAGGTTTCGAGGGAACTACTTTAGAGGATGGAGGCTAAAGATAATAAGGGTTTCCACTAAGTTAAGGTCTTTAAATAGGGTCCAAGACCCAAAAATTTGGGTTTGACGCTGCCTCGCATACGCTTAGCGTACTAGGGAGAAACATCGTGATCAATTAAGCCAAGTATGCCCAGTGTACATATCTTGTATGTCCAATGTATATGCCAAACCTTTTTTCCCAATCTAACTTCTGAAGGCCATAACTTCTGCGTCCCAACTTTGATTTCGGTGATCTTTATATGTTCGAAAAGGTGGGACTATGCCATGTGTCTGAGCTCCCCGAAGGTCATAGTGAAGACATTGAGTCAAAGTACAAAACTCAGGAAAAATTTAAGGCCAAGATTTTGAAGGTCAACATACAAAAATAGAAATATTAGATTTCAAATGAATTGTCAAATATACCCTTGGCTTGTTAGTTTACATATTTCTATCTTAAATTCATGACCAGGTTGATGAAGAGAGACAAAGAATATCTTTAGGAATGAAGGGATCATATTTCGATATTGAAACACAACATATTCATGATTCTGATGCACCTAAAGATTCTGATTCCGAATCCGATGATCCTATCCTATCTGAGACCTCGGAATCACTGATTCCATTCTCTAAACATCCAGCTTTAGCTGAAGTGGAATCCAGGGCTTCTGTTCTTCCTCTTGAAGTTACATTAGATAAAGAAGAAGATGAGTCATCTATAGAGGTGGAACAAGCTCAAAGTCCAGAGCCTCTTGATAACAAAAAAAAATCTGAAAAGAATGAGAACGAAAGTAAGCAAACCAAAAAGAAAGAAACATATGAAAGGTATGTATATAAGCTAATAATGTCTCCCTTCTCTTTCTGAAGGACAATATCGTAATTTATAATTTTTTTGTAAATAGGGAACGAAAAATTAGGGTTGCAGGGGAGAGACTATTGCAGAAAGATGTTCCAAGAATAGTTGATGATTATGAGAAGATGATAAGAAGCTCTCCAAATAGTAGTTTTATCTGGATAAAATACATGGCATTTTTTCTCTCGTTAAATGAATTAGTTGAAAAGGCTCGATCAACGACTAAAAGGTATAAACGTTCTTCATACTTTATATCAAATATTATGTAAATTTACACGATTGCTACTTGATTGTGTTGTTTAGGGCTTTGAGGACAATTAAAATAAGAGAAGAGCCAGAGAAGCTAAATGTTTGGGTTGCTTAATTTAATTTAGAAAATGAATATGTATATGCATATGAATAAGTACACGCATATATACATATGCATATGCATATGCATATACTTATTCTTGTTCTTATGCATATACTTATTTATATGCATATCTATATACTTATTCACATGTGTATGTATACACATACACATACTTATTCTTATGCATATGCATATCCATATACATATACTTATTTATATTCATATACTTGTTATTATGCATATATTTATTCTTATGCATATATTTATTCTAATGCATGTGCATATGTATATTTATATGTATATGCATATGCATAAATATAATCATATGTACTTAATTGCCATATGCATATATTTATTCGATCAGATGTAGGGTGAGCCCTAGTTTTCCAAGATTGATCTTCGGTCGGGATACCATCAGATGAGGATTCGGGATGAGGATATACCAAAGACGGCTTTCAGGATTCGGTATGGGCATTATGAGTTTGTAGTGATGTCGTTTGGACTTACCAATGCCCCCGCAACGTTCATGGACTTTCCAAGATTGTTTTGTTTTTTTTTTTTTTTTTTTTTTTTTTTTTTTGCAATTTTCTTAGATATATGTATCTACATGTATATGAAATTTGATACCTAAATTCACTATAGATAAAAAGTTTGTTGGTCTCCTTCAATTTAGTTCTTTATATATATATATATATATATATATATATATATATATATATATATATATATATATATATATATATATATATATATATATATATATTCGGTGTAAGACCCATGTATTAAATGAGTTAATTAAAAAAAATTAAATATAAATGTCTAAATATTTAAGAACTTTGGATTTATAAAAAAAATAATGAATTATTAAAATTGATTTTTTTATCTTTTACATTTAAATAAATAAACAAAATAAACTAATAAGCTTTAATTTAGGAATTTTAAAATAAAAATATAAATCCATTAATAGAATTGATATTCATTTATTACTATATTTATTGTAATTATTAAATTAAAATATTATGTGAAATTTATTAAAATAAAAAAACCTATAAAATAACATGTGAAAAAATATTAATTCAAAATAACCACAAAATGATATGTTACAAATCGAATTAGAATTTAACATATGATAAAATAAAATAAAAACTTTTATTTATTTATTATTAAAGTAGAATATAATATATATGTTGGTACTTATTCAAGTACACCATCCATCCTTCACGATTCATATCTTGTCTCTCTATCTTCTCTATCTAGGAAATGTCAACATTAAGCCATCTCTTTGACCTTCAGCAAGAACAAATTTGCTATGTTCAATGTGGGTTCTGCACCACTGTTTTGCTGGTAAACCCTTATGCATGTTAACTAAACCAAATTAGTGTTTATTAGCTGTGGCACTTCTATTCCGTTCGAATTTTTGTCTATTCTCATTCCCCACATGACAATTTATATCCTATCTATATGTCTACAGGTTAGTGTACCATGTAGCTGCTTATCCATGGTGGTTACAGTCAAGTGTGGCCATTGCGCAGGTCTCCTTTCAGTGAACATGATGAGATCCTCTTTTCTTCCTCTTCATCTGTTTCCTTCTATTAATAACCAAGAAGAGGTGTGTCTTTTTTTTTTTTTTTCATTTTCTTTCAGTATATTATACTATCTTTATCATATGTATGCTGTATAGTATCGGTTTTATGAAATCTTTTTCTCTCAAATGAAGCCAACGGTGGAAGTTTGTAAAGAAGACGAAGAAGTAGCTAAACCACCATTGAGCAAGCGTAGCTCTTCCCCTCTCATCTCAACATCCTCATCAGATGAAGACAACGAAGATGATCTTGTTTTAGTTAACCATGTTGTCAACAAGCGTAAATTTTACTTAAATCTTATTTATATACATTAAGAACTAGTCTTTAATTACCTTTCCGACATGATAAACAATGTGTCTTTCCACACACAAGCCCCATACGCCTATATCCTGATAAAGGACAACACTAACATCATTTAAATTACTTCAAATATTACTGTATATATCTTCCTGATGAGTTCATTTATGATTTTGTTTGCAGCCCCGGAAAAGAGGCAACGTGCTCCATCCGCATATAACAAATTCATCAAGTATAGTACTCATTTAAGTTTATAATTTTTGGGTGAATACATGTAACTATGCTTCAACTCATGACTATGTGCATTATCAGAGAAGAGATCATAAGGCTGAAGACGCAGCATCCCAACATTTCTCATAAGCTAGCCTTTAGTACAGCTGCCAAAAATGTATGCGTTCTTTGAGTGTATATATATTTAAAGAAACAACCTAGTTAATAACAAACACACACACATACATACATATGATGATTATCATGAACTTAGTACGTGAATTTGATTCTTGTTTCAGTGGGCTCATTCACCACCAAGTCAACAGAACCAAGGAGAGAAATCAAAGGCTTCGGATAATGAACCCACAGTGATGATTCAGGAGCTTGGTTCAGAGCAGCCTTCTTAAGTTGACACACTCATACAACGCAACCCGAAGAACATATTGCAGATTAGAGGCTTGCTAGCTAGTGATTAAGTAGTTATAAGTTTCGTTCTAATTATGGTGATAATTTCATTTGATTTGAAGCCTTTATTAATCTATAGCCAATTAACGTAACATCACCTTTAATTTAGATACCTCCAAAAATCAATATATGTTCTTTTTTCTTTTGCCTTTTGCTCATAATATATACGAGGTTTCTGTGCCCAATAACTTTGCGAGCACAATGCTTCAAGAACGTAGCTGATTCCTAGCCAAAACGACCCATGGACCTCGAGTGTGTTAGAGGAAGCTATTCTTGTGTATGACAACCAATTTTTATTTTGAGTTTATTGAATTATTCTATTGCTTTGGGCTTAAAAAATTTCTTGTGCTGTTTTGCACGATCATATTTCTTTTAAAGAATCAGCAACAGAAATCCTCCATTTGTGCGTACCATTAATTAATGAGTATTTTAGTTTTCGTGGGTCTTATTTAAATGATCTGATCGTGGTGAAAAACAGTTAAACTTTATAAGTTTACCGTAAAAAAAAAAACCATGTAAGCCTCAGTTTTTGCTCATTAAACTATAGATACCTAGTCACTTTCATGCCACTAAATGAGAAGTTAGTGACATATTCCTACTTGCTAGCGTGGTATGAAAAGACGAAGATGATCGATTAAAGCTTAGTATAAGAGGAGTACTTTACCACAGAGATAGGAGCATGGCTTTCTGTTGCAAGAACTTGCAGGTTCCTTCACAAGGTAATGCTGTCTTATAATGGAAAGTATTGAAGGCATCCTCTTTAAGAAAAAAATGCCCTTTAAATGACATTTGTGTAACTGACCCCATTGAATTAAGAACCATTAGTTGTTCTTTCCATTTTAAGAAGATGTTTGGGGTTCAATAATGTGCATATTATTGATCTTCTTAGGCACGTAGTAGCTGGCTAGATGCTCTTGGGGTTTGGAGTACTTTGTGATTTAAGAGCTTCAGTTCTCGATTTAAGAGTGACAACTGCCTGACAAAACCTTCTCGTGCCATTTTTAAGTTGAACCAAAGTTGTTTCTTATTATTTTGTTTTAGAAATGGTTACACAATCAATTATATCTAATTTTTGTATTTATTAATGTTGAGCATGTATATTTTTCTATAAACATACGCGACCATTATTGGTTGTTAGACGAGCTATGGTTCGGCAATATGAGTGTCAATATATACAATAGTCTTTGTGTCGAGGAAGTTTTGAGCTCCTTCAGAGTGAATTAATTCAAAAACTCTCAAAATCAAGTCTCCACACTTCAAGATCACTTCGACTAGTGGAGGAATGCTGGCATTAAAAGCACAATGAAAAACAATAAAGTGTGATGCCTAACTCGCATGTAATTTTATTGAAGTAAAACTGATTCAAAACTTCAATCTGAATAATCGATTATAGGATCCTGTCAATTATATATGTTGAACAAAAAACAAATCAAAATATAACTAGGATTCCTAAATGTAATCAAACAAACTTTCCATGTAAAGAATTCCTTATGGCTTTAGGAAAACTTTAGAACCTTGGTCAACACTCCAAGTAATGTATGATCTCGACAGAACACACCATCTTGCCATATCTGACTCGGATAATTCGCCAATTACCACCTTAATTTCTAAGTTTAGGGTAATTCTTGCATGCCAAGCAACGATCCCATCTCTATGAACCTTATCCGAGCTAAGAACTTTGTAAATGGATATGCACATTGCTTGTCCCTGAAAACATGTTCAACTATCAATTGTTTGTGTTCAACTTGCTCTCGAATGAAGTGATAACAAATGTGAACGTGTTTGCTTCTTCCATGAAAGACATGGTTCTTTGACTCTGTAATTGTTAACTTGTTGACTATTCGAATCAACACCTTATGTTTCTTCATTCCTGTCATCTCAGCTAACAACTCCCTTAACCAAACTGTCTGTCATGCAGTTGTATTAACTACTGTGAACTCAATTTCACACGAAGAAAATGCTATTGTGCCTTGCTTCTAGGAGCACCAAGTGATAGGTGAGTCACGAAGGTAGAAAACATGTCTAGAAAACATGTCATGTTGTACTTCTACCATCATCAACATCAACATTATGATTGTTACCCGTGTATACTGGCAAGCTCATATTTTTACTTCGTTTATGTATTATCCCAAAAGATGTTGTACTACGCAAGTAACAAAGAATTTTCCTAATAGCACGTGTATGAGATTCTCTTCGACTTTGCATATAACGACTAACTACTCCAACCGAATATGCTAAATATGGATGTATGTGCAATCTTCCATACTTCGACTTTGCATATAACGACTAACGGTTGTGTAATTCATGTTCATCTTCAGCTTTAGACAGTTTTAGTCCTAGCTCCATAAGACATTGAGTTGAATTACAATCTTCCTTACGTTCTTCTTTTAGAATGTTCATCGCATAACTCTCTTGATTTACCTTTACACAACCGTTTTCTTTCAATACTTCAATACC